AAATCAGTCCTTCAAAAATTAAAAATTGTGCTTTACAGTATCAACTGCAATTAATGCTTTTAATGCAATTAATGTTTTCTGTAGATAATAAAAAGGTAGATTCTAAAGTACTTCTGTCAAAAATCCCAATGATCTGTTCAGTAGGCTGAATAGTGCTCACTCCTCCCATACCCAATTCACATTTGTCTATGGTTTGTATTTCGGTTATCTCCCCAAAGCCTCATGCAGTCATGGGGTGGCTTGTAGAGTTTGTGATGAATTCATGATCCATGAGATTACTGCTGTGAGTGATACATCCAACCTGTGGTGGGTAGCCTGCATACAAATGTAAGGAAGAGAAAGAGGCTAGCTAGCTAGCAGCTGCAGCTGCTGCCACTCCTTTGCTTTTTGCTGTTTTCCGCTATCATGATCAAATGCCCTCTACAATGTGCCACTCTGCCTTGAAGCCAGCCAAGTATGGACTGAAACCTCCACTAACTGAGAGCTTAATAAACCTTTCCTTCCTTAAATTTGGGTGTCAGATATTTTGTCCCAGCGAGAGAAGAGTAACTAAGACAGTCAAAAACCCTACTTGAAAATATGGTCTTTGCAGATTAATTAAAGGAAGAATCTAATGATAAAATCAGTTTGGATTTGAGATGGGCTCTAAACTGCAAGATTCATATGCTTGAAAGGAGAGAAGGCACACAGGAAACAGATAAGAGCTGTGTGATTCCCAGTTTGTTCAGTGTTAGTGTCCTCTGCACTTGTTATGGGTGGGCTTGGGTTCTGAGATTGCATTTTGTTCCTTCCCATTGGCATTTTGTGTAGCACTGTCTTCTGACCTTTGTTGTAGAGCTTTGTTGCACTTATAACCTTAGCACCTACTGAAGTTTAGGTGCAGATCTACAAAGTTTGGATCTATCCAGCTGTGCCTGGCTTGGGTCTGGCTGCTGTGCTCAGCTCCTTCCTGCTGCCGCCCTTGGGGGTGAACCTGTTGTGCTCCTCTGGCAAGATGTTGTGCTCCTGGACTAGCTGGGTGGTTCTGTCCCCTACTCTCTCTGCAGGGACTGCAACTGCAGAGTTTCACCCCAGGCCTGTATGCCAGGCCTGAGCTGGGTCTGAAGGGGACATGGTGGAGTAGGGAAGAGAGGAAGCTCTCCCACACACTCACTGGGCCTGGGCTAGGGCTGGATTTGGGGATCCCGAGAACGTGGCTGAAGTTCTTACTCACTGGGCGGGAGTGGAGGGGGGGTCTGCGGAGTGGTGGTGGGGGGTCCCAAGGGGGTGGAAGAGGGTCTTACTCACGCTGCGCCTGAGTTCGGACCGGACAGGTCCTGATGGTGCAGGAAAGCCGGAAGCTCTCCCACACACTTACCAGGCCTGGGCTAGGGTTGGATCTGGGGATCCCGAGAACGCGACTGAAGTTCTTACTCACTGGGTGGGAGTGGGGGTCTCTGCGGAGTGGTGGTGGGGGTCCCAAGGGGGTGGAAGTGGGTTTCACTCACGCCGCGCCTGAGTGTGGACTGGACAGGTCCCGATGGTGCAGGACAGTCGGAAGCTTTCCCACACACTCACCGGGCCTGGGCTAGGGCTGGATCTGGGGATCCCGAGAATGTGGCTGAAATTCTTACTCACTGGGCGGGAGTGGTAGTGGATTGGTGGTGGGAGGTCCCAAGGGGGTGGAAGAGGGTCTCACTCACGCCGCGCCTGAGTTTGGACTGGACAGGTCCCGAGGGCGCACGATAGCCGGAAGCTTTCCCACACCGGAAACAGATAAGAAGATGAAAGCTAGGCAGAGAATGGAGTGACACTGCCACAGCTAGGAATTCTGCAGGCCACCCACAGTTGTCAGGCACAAGAAACAATTCTTCCTTCCGGAGCTCTCCACAAGAGCTTTAGAGACAGAGCTAATCTGTGCTGCTGAGATTTCACATTCATAGTATCTGGAATTAGGAGAGGGAACATGACTATTAAGTTACCACTTTTGTGGTAATTTGTGATAGCAGTCCTAGGAAAGTAAGATAACCTTCATTTTACTAATGTCAATGTTATACTCTGGTTTGTCTTCAGATTGTATAAATCTTTCGCCTTTTACTAATGTCAATGTTAAATTCTCAGACTTGTCCTACTCTACCAATCTCTATGAGTCATTTGCATGTGATTCAGTAATCATTCCTTGCCATACTTCCCCCAGTTCTCCTCTTTTATCACTGGAATCTTCCCAGTTTCTTTGTTGATTCCTCTTCTTTTCCCTTACATCTCAATAAGGAAAGCTACACAGACTTCTCAGTCCATGAGAACATTTTTCCAGTTATTCAAGGAAATGTCTTGGTGTCATCTTTGGTGCTTAGAATCTCTCCCTGTTGCCTCTCCCCAACTTACAAGGGAATCTTCTTAATCTACCATGCAAAACATTAAATAACACACACATAACCCAGCCACAGCTCACCATGTCCCACTGATGCCACCAGGGACAGGGCAACATGATGTTCTGCCTGAGTTACTGCAATAGTCTCCTTACTGGTTTCTTAGCTTCTACTTTGCCTCTCTACTGTCTACTTTCATTATGGCTGGTAGAGCTAAGTGCTTATGGAAATATAAGGCAGATATATCAGTTTTCTGCTAAAAAGTATCCCTATTTCATCAAAACCAAAGTCCTCACAATGCCTACAAGGCCCTGGGCTATGTGCTATTCCACATAACCTCTCTGGTCCTGTTCTCTGCTACTTTCTCCTTGCTCACTCTGCTCCAGGGATACTAACAGGAAAGATTGTTAATATGACAACACATCTCCCCCCTTTACATTTATACCTCTGCAATATGAAACTGAAAATCTTCCCATCAAGAAAAGTACTTCTCTCCATCTTTCGAAATTAGGTTTTCTTGGTGACCCACTTTGCAACAGGGTATTAATAAACATGATTCAACAGAGGCTTAAAGAACTATCTGCTATGGGGTTTGCTCTCTTTCATTGTGGTCCTAGTGAAGCAAGCCAGTTGCCAGATAGACTGGCCATCACTGCAGACTAGGAGGCCAACCCCCTAGTGGATGGCTAGAGACAGGCAAGTTCAGCAGATACCAAGCCTGCAGCCCCAGGTAAGGAAATTGGCTCTGTGGGCTCCCAAATAATAATCAAAATAAAGCACTGCTGTGAGCCACAAAACTTGCTTGGTGTTCTCTGCTGCTGCCATTTCTGGATCTTTATTTCCTACACTGTCCCTACATTGTACACCTAATTTATTGTATGTTTCATACTCCTGTTCAAATTTTCACCTCTGAATGAGGATTGCTCTGAACACTCTTATTTAATCACTGCCAAAATCCTTACCTGGATCTTTTTTCTTTTCTGTAACTCTTTTTACCTAACCTATTATATTTGAATGTTATTTTTTTTTCCTGTCTACTCCTGCTAGAAATTATGAAAAGCAAAAATCCTGTAAAAGTACTGTACTGTGAATTTATGCATCACACATACCATGATCAGAGCTTTGTATATAGTAAATGTTAACTAAATGATTATTGAAGGATGAAAGAGTTCAATATTCTAAAGATACATTCTGTGTCAAATTGATAGTCAATGTTTTCTAATTCTAATGTTAATGAATAGGCAGTCTTTAAAAGTTATTATATTAATTCTGGTATAGGAATAACTGTGGACAGAAAATAATAATTTGAGTAATAAATATAGCACATATCCATATGCTAATAGCACATATGCAACATTGACTGATATTAAGCCCAGTACTGCAAAAAGCATATTCATATATGTGTGTATGTGTGTACATATATAAAATAAGTGAAGAAACTGAGCTATTAAAGTGTTTATATTATTCAATTTTTACTAAAAGACTTAAAAATACACACAAACCTAAGTCATACACTTAAAAAGTTAAACACAGTTTTTTCTAAACAAAGTCATGAGATCTTTATTCTTCTCTTGAGTTGTATCATAGTTGTGTAACAATGTGCATACACTTTGCCCTAGGTGCCAAGGCTAGAGCTTCTACACCCCTGGTATTTCCTGAGCAACAGAATAATTTTTATCATTTATGTTAAGACACTGGACTCCACTTAAATTTATGGTAATGGAGTGACTCCTGATTGGCCCCCAGAGACCACAGGATGGAGGCTGGCCATGCTGGAAAACCCACATGTGATTAGAAGACTGGGGCTTTGAGCCACAGGATGTGGGCTCAACCTCCTGATCTCTAGGGAAGTGAGGGGGCTGGAAATTTAACTCAAGCTATAGAATGGTCTAATCAATGGTATGCATGTAACAAACTCCAGCAAAAGCTCAGTGAGCTTCCTGGCTGGTAAACACACTGCTACACTAGGACAGTGACACAAGTCAATTTTACTAGTAGAGGATGTGGAAGCTCTGTACCTGCACCCTCTGACACATCACCCTAGAGCAGGATGGCAAACCTATGGCAAACTTGTTTAAGACAAAAGATGTTAACGTATCAATTGTTTTCTAAATATTCAGGTTTAATTGCAATGTTGCTGCTACACACATTTTTGATTTAGTTTCTTTTCAATAAAAGATGGTTTTATTGGGATGTAATCCCATGACAGGCCAAGAACTATCTGTACTGACTGGCTTTTTCTCTCTTCCCTGTCTCGCTTCCTATTCTAATTCCTTAGAACTACCTCTTAAAGAAATGAAGATTTTTGGAGTCCTTTTCTTAGGGTCCGTTTCCTTTTGGAGTGCTTTTCTTAGGGTCTGTTTCCTTGGGGGTCCAAAGAAGAATATGCAGCAGTCTTCTATGTGTAGGACAAATTTTTTCTAAGAGAACTGATTTTCAGGCATACCATGACATCCCTCCACATGCTAAAGTTACCTTCTTACCAACCACTTTGATTTCAGTCTTCCAGTCCTAGACGATCGTAAGTGCGAAAAAGTTTTTGACAGAAGCCCAATAAACAGAAATATAAGAATGCATGTGAAGCACTGTGATATCATCAGTTCCTCTGAAGAAAAATAATCACCAATTAACAAAATGCATTTTTGAAAATACCTAAGTTGTTTTCGAAGCTGTTCTAGTTCCACATTTTGCTCAGTTACCGTTTTCATAAAGTGTTGGTTAGTCTGCAAGAGGGGAAAAAACAAACAAACAAATCCAGGATTAGGACATTTAAACACTATCAAGAGTAAGCAAAAAGCAGCTAAGTAGAGAAGACCAAGTGAGATCTGTGACCACCAAGACCTTTTGAGGACAAAATGTCACTCCGGCCTTCTTTCCTCATCTTTACTTTCATGGATACCTGCTCCACTTCAGACTACCTGCACTCTGCTTCTGTGTCTCAGAGTTCTCTGGCTACCTGAGTCTGTTTTGCTCATTTTCCGTGGAATTAAGGTTCCATTCTGCTACAGAGAGTGTGATATGATTGATAGAAGTGGTGCACATCACCCAAACTCCTTGTTCTGTGGGCGGAACAACTGATGCCTGTGTTCTACTTGAGCTTTCACTGGTGAAGCTGAGTCTTATTTACAGTTCTCACTTGTTGCCTTCTCTTCGAGGCCTCATTTCCCCAAATCCCTGCGGGGGCTCCCTGCTATTATGTCTTAAACAGAGGAGATGCGTTGGCTCTCATTCCTCAGGGTTTGCTTATGAAGGAATCCAAATGAAATGTGAAGTAATCTTCTCATGCAAAAGAACTTTTTTAAGGAAGGTGATTTTTGCCTCCCAAGGTGTTGGTTTTACGATGAGGTATAAATTCCTTTCCCATCACACACATATTATAGTTACTTCTGACTGATTGTCTTGATTTTCTTCTCCTCTGGTTCCAATAGATCATGCTTACTAAAATGCTAAAATGACTGAGGCAGTTCTCACTGTGCTGCTCTCATCCTCTACCCAATTTCGTTGACTTTCTATTTTTTAACATAGTATTGCATTTCCTTTGCCTGCAATGTCCTCATTCTATCTACATTTATTCTTTAATACCCTGATTAGTCTACTCACTTTCAGGCAAAATCAATGATTCCATGCCTACAGTTTCATAAAACTTAATATATATCTATACGCTGCACATGACATTAAATTTAAAAATTATATGTAAAGTTCATATATTCATGGATATGAGTATTTTTCTCAGAACTCCCAATGCCTGATATATAATTTAGCACAACAGAGGTATCTCTATCTTTGAGGAATGAATGAGTACCTTTATTGAAGCATGAAAAAAAGTCTGAGATTTTAATTTTTAGCTGGGAAAGAAGATTACTTAGGATCTGAATTTAATGTTCAACCTAAAGTACAATTTAAAAGAACAACGGTCACATGCAGAAAACAGTATTTAAAGGTAGGTAGACTGTAAGATACAAAAAGTGAAAAAAAAAAAAAAAGAAAAGAAAAGAAAAATGGGGGCTAGGGAGATAGCTCAGTAGAATAAGCACTTGTCTGGAAAGTACAAGTTCCTGAGTTCAATTCCCCAATACCACCCCCCCCAAAAAAAAAGCAAAATGACTGAAATACTGGGCACTGTGATACTGTGATTTATACTAAGAAATACATTTGGCAAGCTTAGTTTCTAGGTACACAGTTGCTTGAGCCCTTAGAATGTCCAATTTAGTGGAGTCTTTTAATATGCTGATAAGAATACTGTGCCCTTGGGCCAATGGATAGTTCTGGACTGAGGCTGGTTGCCAGGGAACAAACCAGGTGAACAGAAGGCTAGAATTCTCAAGTGTTTCAGCCTTTCACTCCAAAATCCAAGAAAAGAACAGGGAGCCAAGCTCATCTTTAATAGTTAATCATTTGAATAATCACCTTATCACAGTGGAAATGTCCATCTTGTACTCTGATTAACTACTATGAAGACAACAACATGTTTTGTATCAACTATTGCAACTGTCCTACTAACCTGTTTTGAAACTCAGTTTCATTGTTTGTTTATCTTTTTTTCTCTTTAAAATAAAAAAAAAAAAAAGATAAAACCCCACACAGATGGAGTCTGGAGTGTTTGAACAATGCTGAACACATGAGGCATCCAGAGAGGGTGCATTGGGGAGGTAAAACTTCTCTGAAGAAGTCTTAGCCATATTAAAGATCCTACAGACGCCTTAACTTCAGTAAGTAGAACACTGTGAGAGACAGAATATTGTCTGTCTCAGGCAAAACTACGCTGGACTTGTGCAAGGCACAAGGGCGCCCACCTATGGTTACTCAGAAGGCTGAGGCAGGAAGCTAGCCTATGAGCCTTTGATTTCAATTTCTCTGTTCCTTAGTCTGAGGAACAGAGTGACATCCGATCAGATCCAGTAAATATGAAGCTTTGGGGATTACGATAGAGAAATTTAGTTTCTCATGTATCTTTTAAGGTATCTATTCATTACCATACTAATAGTTTGTACATGATAATTGTTTTTCATCATAGTTAGGGGGTAAAAGACTGGTATACTAAAACTACAAAATATAGAAAAAATAATTTTTAAAGCTTAAAGCACAAGGAAAGAAACATTAAAGATACTAGTAGTAAGCTGTACATGGTGCTCAAGGATTGCAAAACAATATATTAAAAATTTTTGTATTCAATGTGCTTTATAGATTCAACGCAATCACTACAGAAATCTCTACATCTTTTACAGAAATAGAAAAAAACTCCTAACATTCACATGGAAACACAAAAGCCCATAAGCAGTCAAACTAGTTTTGAGAAAGAATGACAAAATTAGATTTCAAAATATATTACAAATCAAAACAGTATGATACTAGCATAAAGTTAGACATAAGGACTGATGGAACAGAATAAACTTCAGAAAGAAGTCCCACATATATTGCTAACTGATCTTTGACAAAATGCCAAGAATATACAATATGGGAAAAATCGTCCTCAATAAGTCTTGGGGGGAATCCGGATATTCACACTAAGAGGAATGAAACTAAGCCTTATTTTCTTCTACCAGACTAAAAAATATACTAAAATGGATTAAAGATTTAAGACCTGTACCTATAAAATTCCTAGAAAAAAAGTAGGGTAAGAGTTGCAAGACGTGAGTCTTGGCCATGTACCAGAATGACACCTAAAGCACAGGTAACAAGACAGAAATACCGAACTGGGACTACTTCAAAACAGAATGCTGTGCGCAGCTTTTCTCCACGTGAGCCAAACTGTAGACAAGGCAACCTAGAAACGGGAAAAGATATTTGCACACCACTGTTGGGGGAAAAAACCCTAAAATGTTTAAGGAACTTCTATAACTCAACAGTATTAAAATAGGCTAAGTACAAACTAGAGAAGGCACTTCTTCCTTATTGTGTCCTTAAGTTGAAAGCGGGTTTTGTTTGCTTGTTAATGTTATCTGTGCATATTAGTTACACAGAATAGATTTATTTTGGCATACTGGGCCATGCAATAAATATAACTTGATTATTTTAGCCTCTATTACTTCTTTTTTTCTCTCCTCTCCTCTGTCCCCTATCCATTTCTTCATCTCATAATCTTTATTGTCCTGTCACTTCTCCTTTTCTTTTCTTTTTTGAAGTTCCATACATGAGAAAAACATATAGTATTTGAGTTTCTGAATCAGGCATATTTTACAACATGGAACCAGTTTCCAGTTCCATCTACTTTCCTGCAAATGACATGATTTCATTATGGCTAAATAATACTACAGTATATATGTATATTATATATATTTTATGCAGTATATATATTATATATATTGTATTTTCCTTATTCATCCTCTGTTGACAGAAGCCTCAGCTATTTCCACAGCTCAGCTATCATGCACTGTGGTGCAGTAAACATGGGCATATAAGTATCACTATAGTGTGCTGTTGTTATTTCTTTCTGGAATATAATGAGGAGTGTTATGCCTGGATAACTGGATCAAATGGCATTACTAGTTTTAGTTTTTTGAGGACGTTTTGTATTGATTTTTATAGTGGTCATAATAGCTTACTTTTCCATAAATAATGCAGAACACTTTTCCTGCATCCTTGCTGGAATTTTTTTTTTTATTACTGATGATAGCTGTTCTGACTGAAGGCAGATAGAATCTCTATAGTTCTGATTTGCATTTCACTAATGATTAAACATGCTGAATATTTTTTCATATACTTATTGGCCATTTGTACAACAACTTACTTTCTCACTTATTGATTGGGCTATTCATTTTGGGGGTGTTATGTTTTTTGAATTCTTTGTATACTCTACCTATCAATCCTGTCAGAAGAGGAGCTGGCAATGGTTCTCTTCCATTTGGTAGACTGTCTCCTCACTGCTTTTCTTTGGCTGTACAGAAGCTGCTTAATTTGATGTATTCCCATCTGTTGATTCTTGCTCGTACTTTCTGTGCTGCTGAAGTCCTGTTCTGTATTTGTCTGTGCTGTGACACGGCCATGGGATTTTCCCCCCTTAACTATGTATATGTCTCTCCTATGTTTTCCTCTAGCATTTCCATTTCAGGTCTTATATAATCAGTTTGTACTGATTTTGGCAAAGGCTGACAGAGAGGGATATAGTTTCAATATTTGATAAATGGATATACAGTTTCCCAGCATTATTTGTTAAAAAGAGCCTGTCTTTTCTCTAGTAAATGTTTATGACCATTTTGTCACCAATCAGACAGGTGTAGCTGTATGGGTTTGTTCCTGTGTGCTATGATCTATGACACTGTTCTGTGAGCCAGGACCTGTTTACGCTGTTTTCTTTACTATGGGGTGGGTTCTAGTATTATATCAAAATGGATTACTGTGGTGTTTCCAGTATTGCTCTTTTAGTTCGGGATTGCTTTGGCTATTCTGGGTCTTCTACAGTTTTTAGGGTTGTTCTTTCTAGACATGCAAAAACCTGACATTTTGCCAGGGATGACAGATGTACTTATCACTTTTATTTTTTTATTTTTAAAGGCAGTATATTTCTTTTTTTTTTGCCATAGTTTTATAGATAAACAAATAGCAATGAGACAGTTTCAAATCAAATTGGTAGGACAGTTTCAATAATTAACACACTGCAGACATTCTTCTTAGTGGTTAACTGCTGTACAAGATGTGGACTTGATATCCTATTTACAAACACCATTAGAACAAATCA